CCGTTTGCTTGTGGTGGCGCTTTGTCAACAAAGAAACCAAAAGGGAAAATGCCAGAGACACGCCTAGTATACGTCCTGGTCCACTGTTGTTGAGCAAAAAACACAGAGGGGGAGGTCACCTGCTTGAAACGCACCCGTATCCGTCGCCCGAAACTCAGAAACATCCCAGTAGGAACAGTTCTCAAAATGTTCAATTGATCCCCAGTGGCCCCTGGCTTACCACAGAGGCTGTTCCATCTCTGGCTCACGCCCTTGGCTCGAAGATAGAGCCACTCCGCCTGCGAATGCAGCCGGCGTTGACGACGAAGAACTTCACTAGGCAGCAGCAGCCATGGCAGCTGAGCGTCCTGGCACGCGTCTCGTAGGAGCCGCGCAAAACAAAAAAAAGGGGGCAAACATCGCTTCTTTAATGGCATGGCGCATGTCAGATATGGCCCATGGCAAGGTGACTGAGGGAACAGCATCAAATAAATCCTTCCGAGCATGCCACGAAATCACCTGTGCAAAACACTCACTTTCTGCAATCATGCCGGGTGCACTTGAAAAGCAAGCTCCTTGGCGGTAGCATTTCCGCGGATCTTGTTTTTACCGAATGCTGGTACCTTCTCGGATCTGCTGGCCTTTCTGGCTTCACAAAGGGGTACATAAACCTTGACACCCGGGAGCAGCCACAGCATCCAAAAACAGTTGGGTAGCAGGGCAGCAGCTGTTGCTGGACATATTGCCAACACGGTCCTTGATTAAAAGTGCGCGGCAAGCTGGCATGACTAAGCCGGCTACTGATTGAGATCCCAGTTGCCTTTAATCACGTCGAGGTCCTCATGACTTGGAAGCTCAGGCCCGTGGATGGGTAACGTCTGCATCCGTTGAAGGATGAGCAACAGTGTGGACAGGCAGCAAACAAGCTCCAGCAAACAAGCTCCAGTCAAAGCAGGCTCCTCTACTCTCCGGATTCTGTACCTGCAGCCAAAAGCTCACAAACCTGCAGAGTAAATCGCCCTTTCATGAAATTGAGACGCGGCATCTGGTTGGGGATTTCCCCCCCATTTTCGGAGCGTAGGATGCAAAGAGGGTGGCCAAACTCACTAGAGTGCAAACACTTGCGGATTTGGCCGGCTTCTCTTGGAGTCAGGTTGGGCTGGATCTGGCAGGAATTTGTGTGGATGCGGGTTGGGTCCAGAGCGCATTGCTGGCTGGATTTTGGAGCTGATTCCTGGTTGGTGAAGGATGGGCTTTGAAGGTTGGGGGCTCGCCGTGGGATGAATCAGGATGGGCTACCTCATAGGTTGGTTGAAAGCTGGGATTGAGTGGGTGGCAGGGTCTTATTTTGACATGAGACTCGGACTGAATCTAGCCTGCCTTCGGTTTAGCAAGGGGCAGGTGGGGGCTTTGCGAACACAGTTTGGCACATAGGCAAAAACACCTGGACAAACAACGCCTTGGCTGCCCTCGGAAGGAGCAAGCCTGGCTCCGGCCTGATAAGCTCACCATCTCCTACGTCCTGTTGCCATGGATCGTGCGCGCATGGATGGATATTTGACCCCGTTGCACCCATGCTCGGAGCACTGGTTGCAAATGAGGTTGTTCTCAAAGAGAGCTCGGTAAGCCTGGCACAATGCACCGCTTGACAGCTGTGGGCACCTGAGGCTGCTTTCAAATGCCTCATCCCACAGAAAAGCTCCTCGCAAAAAACGGGCCAAACCGCCAAACCACCTACAAACGCATTCACTCAAACGAGCCAATTGCGGGGATACCGAGGCAAGCTTTTGGAATTGAAAGCAGAAAGCTGCAGAGCAGATGCTATTGGGATCTGATCCAGGAGACGGGGCAGGGACTTCAAGCTTCTTGTACTTGAAATGCACAGGAGTCGGCCCACCTGAATTATCCTTAATCACAACGAGTAACCCGGTGGCTATGACAAAGGGCACTGACACCTGAGATCCATGGCTTTTGTGACCCATGTAACAGACGGATTCTGGGCTGCGGCAGGGTTTGTTGGAGCCTGCTTAAGGCTTCTTCTAAAGCAGCCCTTGTAAAGGAGCCCTCGTAAAGTGTAGAATTGATGAAACCTTCAATTTCCAGGGTTTTGAGGGTTTTACATTTTCTACATTTGCTCGGGCTTAGTCTCCTGACAAGCAAACCCAACAGCACTACCAGCCATTCATCTTTTTGCAGCTCGCCGCCAGGATCAAACTCGGGTGATATCCAACGAGCAAAACCTGTGTGTTCAAACTCCGGGTGTGAAATCGCCATCACATGTTAGCGAATGTCAGAAAATACAAAGTGCAATCATAAGACTATGAGATCACCTAGTGGTGAGTACGGTGGAGTTGGGAGCACTCCAGAAATGGGCCAAAGGTATGCAATGCTGGCTTTAAATTTGTGAGCTCTCAAACCAGGGAGGAACAGAATACGACTCACCAAAGCAAGCATCCAAGTTGAGTCGGCTCCGCTGGGGTTTGCTCCTGAGCGGACCTCAGCACGTGTTGTGCAGTTTTTCCTTCGAGGTGACGAACCTGTTACACGCTGAGATACCTTCTGCAAAGAAGCCCGTCCCACAATTCTTTGACGTTGCCCAAACAACTTTCAGGCTCACAGCAATGCCAAAATGAGCATGTGATCTGAGAATCGATGCATCCAACGCAGGCAGTTAGCGAGGTGTTGTGCACACCTGTAGTGAACATTTGGGAAATGGCAGGTGAACCGGACTCCCACAAGGCCAACAACACAATCTGGCATGACACCAAGCCATGCATCATCTGACCTATGTGGGTAACAGCCTCTCCTCACCCCAAGCAAGGTGAACCGGATGGGCTCCCACAAGGTCAACAACAAGGTCAACAACAGCCTGGCATGACCTTAAGCCACGCATCATCAAGCTCTGTGGGCAAACAGCCATTCCTCACGGTCAGTGCACATTTTAGAGGTGGCCGTGGGTGGGAGAAAAATAAAACGTCCTGGCTGCATCATCGCCCAACTCTTGTGTCAAACCACAAGTCGAAACTCAAAACGACTGGTGATCCCACACAACTTTTAGGCTCACAGCAATGCCATGAGCATGTGATCTGAGAATCGATGCATCCAACGCAGGCAGTTAGCGGCCTTTTTGCGCACACCTGTAGTGAACATGAAATGGCAGGTGAACCGGACTTGGCTCCCACAAGGCCAACAACACAATCTGGCATGACACCAAGCCATGCATCATCTGACCTATGTGGGTAAACAGCCTCTCCTCACCCCAACGCCGCAACACCCCAACGCCGCTAATGGACTGCACAACAGAACCAAATTAACTGCTGCTGCAGTCTCAATCTTCATCAGTCATGACTTCACGCCAAAAGACTCCGGCATCAAACGCGTCTGGGGAACACGTAATTCAGGATGGCCGCTGAACGCCATTCACCAAGCTGCATGATTACATGAACAGGCTTGCCCTCCCTGGCCAACTGCGCCGCGCGGCCAGCTCGGAAGGCTTTGAAACCAAACTGCTCTCCGTGCGGCACGTGCAGAATCCTCAAGGCTCTGCGAAAAAGTCCGAGAAACTGGGCAGGCGAATTGTGAAACAATTTGTCGCCAACCTGCAAAGCGCCGCAACATGTGTTCAAGGCCGTGTGGCGCACACAAAACTTCGCCACCCGATTGGCCACACGTGCATGGGCGAGACATGAGAGAACCGGCAGGGCGATTCTTCCTTTTCCGCAGCCGAACATGCAACGCGCCATCTTGCAGCACAACAGCAGAATGCCGCCCAGGCGGGAGTTCATGAAGCTCAGACACGGCTCCTGCTTCTAGGCTTAGAGCCTCTGACTGCACCCGGAACAAAAACTGCCAGGAAAGCAAAAATAATGTTGCTGCCTGATGAAATGGCATGCTTGTGCAAAATGACACCAGCTGCACAGTTGTAGGAAGGTTGAGCAACAACTGCCGTTTGAGATCAGCCGTCCCTGACATCGCGTCAAGCTTTCTCAACCCTGTAACCGCCAGCCGCAGTTGTGGCCCATGTCATTGCAAAGAAAAATCACACAACCGACACCCCCAAGTGATGGCACCGACATAATTCGAAGCTGTGCCCGCGCACCGAAAAAAAGAGATGAATCTCAGCACATCGTCCGCGCACCAAGGAGGAAGCGTAGGATCAGGCGGGTAGCCCCAAATGCTTACAGCAAATTCTTGCCACGCTCGGAGGCCCGACGCCACAGAGGCCTTACTGCCCTGCCGGGAAGCCAGTTGCAGCGCGAATGCTCTGCTGTCCAGACCTGCTACAACGCTTCCAGGGCAGTCAGCAGCAACCCGCGCAATGTTGGCTCTGGGCGTCCCAGTGGCCAGCATGGACGGCCCTTCCACACCGTCGCTACTGCATGACTTGGCCACTTCAGCTTGTAGGGCGCTGGGCAACAAAATCTTGAGCAAACCGAGCTGTTTGACTTGTCCTTCTTCTGTAGCAGCTTGGACTGCACCAGCATGCTTTTGCACCGCTCATGCTGGGAGAACTTGCAAACTGCTTCAAGGCACACTCCCTCCAAATGCTTGGGGCAGCGAAACCCACGCCCAACCAGCTGCGGCGCTGAAATGTGATGCCATAGGGTGGTGTGGTCATCTTTTTCCACTTCCCTGAGCCAGTCAGCCATCTGCCTCGCTTTGGCTTTGAAATCGTCTGCCACACAGCCACCGAAGGGATGGTGCACCTTGCCAGCATGTCCGCGCGGTCGCCATGAAGCCAGAACAGCGCGACGACGCGCCTGCTGTGCTCCTGTCAGCTGCGTCCACACTTCTGGCGACTCTAGCAGCATCAAGGCCCCGGAGAGAGCCAAATCTGCTTTCTCAGCTTTCCATCGCTCAGCTTGGCCCAGCAGCTTATTCAGCTCAGACGCGTGGTCTGGCACAAAAGCTTCCAAAACATTCTGCGTTTAATACGCTGCAGTTGCAGCTAGGCTCTGCTCTCTCCGCTCATACAGGCCACAAAACCACTAGAGCCAAAGAGGCAGCGATACAAGCAATGACAAAACCACTAGAGCCAAAGATGCAGCGATAATGACGAAGAAAACTACAAGTGAACCTGCAGTGAACCGGTGCACCGCCAAGCTGCACGTTCCGACTCTTTTTACCACAAGGGAGCTGGACCCTGCCAGAAGGTCTGCGCCCATGTTGGCAGGCAGAAAAGAACCCACTGGGCTTTCATACGCTGAAGCACTACAAAATGGTCTTGAGTAGGTCCGTCCGCTGGATTTGACCCAGACTCGACTCGACCCACACGCAAGTCCACGCGTGCTTTAGCAAGCTCAAGCCACAGTCGGCCTATGCACTCATAGGCTTCCGGGCCACCCCCGCCACCGTTCATGATTGCATGGAGCACTCCATCATTGTCAAAAAAAAAGCAACCCAACACGAACCAGCCAACAAAGCAGAGAACGTGCCCCAAGCCAGCAGAACACCTAACAACTCCTGGAATCCAATCTGATGGTCACCCCTGTCAAGCAGCGCATCAAAAATTGCTGCAGGGGTTGGTAGCATTGTCCAAAAACAATCGTTTGCGATTGAGACAATGGCAGCGGCACATCTTGTCTGACCGGCGGCATCCGACCATGAAACACATTGAGTGCGAGAACTCTCCTTTCTGCGCCTTGCAGAAGCCGGCAGCTTGCACAGGTACTGAAGAAACCACTCAGCAGACTGCGCCAAATGCCGCGACACCTGATTCCGAGGCATTGGGGCGTGCGCCTGTGCAAAAAAGGGCTTAATGTAGGCTCTGCCAACCCGGTTTCCTGACACTGTCACCGCGAAACTGAGTCTTCCTGCCAATTTGGACGCATCGTCTGGGGAACACACTCAACTCCTCAGAATCTCACGCAGCTGGCCACTGTATTTGGCAGCTTTAGCCTGAGTGAAAAGGATTCTGTCTGCAAGACACCACCCCCCCAGTCAGCACCACACCAGCCCGGCCCGCGCCAAAGAAGTCATCCACATACCTGCCGGTTGGCACCATGAGGAGGTTCAACTGCAAGCATCTTGAAAAGATATCCGACACGGTGCCAGGCATATATGGCTGCTACGGTGCCAAACTGCGTCCCGAGGTGTTGAGCGACCCAAAGAACACCATGGTGAGCCCAAACGCCCCAAGCAAACTCCAGCTGGCACGCGCCGGAATGCCTACAACCGCGCCTGTGGAATTCCAGGACCATGTCCGCCAAGGCATCCAGCGTGTCATGCGATATTCTATCCTGTGGCCAGGCGCACACGTTGACCCCGCTCTCCGTCTCATGGTCCACGACCCGCGTCCGCCACCCGTTGGGCTTCAGCTCGCGAACTGGGATCCTCCGAGTGAGGCTCACTGGGTCCCCCGCCTGCAAAGGACGAGGCAGCATCATTGCACCAATGAGGCTGTCCTTTTCAACTTGCAAAGCGATGTCCTCGCTGAACGAAACCTCCTTCACCGCCTGCACCACCGCCAAATTGAGAGACCTGCGACATGCCCGGAGATCATCCACTGTGCCCACGCACGGAAAAGATGCAGGATCCGCTCCCCCTTCACAAGCGGGAAGATCCCCAACAATTGGAAATCCTGAGCGCAGCGACTGGAGAAACTCAGGGGCTTGGATGTTGGCCGCACGCAGCAATGCCTCCCACAGCGGTCCATGGATCCTTGCCACCAAGACCCGCAGTTGCTTGGGCGCTGCTATTGCCCATCCTTCCTGTTCCTGACGAAGTTGGTCTGCCAGTTGAACGATCTTCCGCAGCACGCCACAGCGGAAAGCGTCAATTTCTGCTGCAGACTTTGTCGCCACGAACTCAATGGCTGACATGACTTCAAGTGGAAACTCAGGCTTGCGCAAGGATGGGTGCTTAACTTGCCGCGCAAACTCAACGTGCATCTCAGGAGATAGCCCCGCAGGCGCTCCGAGACCAAAGGGCACTAAGAACGTGCCCAGGGCCGAAGTCAGCGTATTGGCACCCTCATGGCGACAACCACTGCTGCGCTTTCTGCTGCTTCTCGCTCACCCCTGCAACCTTTCCATGTCCCTTGCCCAGGTCAGGCGTGTCTGGACTCGCTACCTGCGCCCTCTTGAGAAGGGCTTGCTGTGTTTCCAACAGCTGCTTGGAGACCTTCTCAGCCTGCCGCTGCGCTGCCTCTGCTGCTTGCAGCGCTGCCGACCAACCAGCTCCAGGTTCGCGTTGGGCGCGGTTGCCGGCCCGGCCCTGGAACCTGCTGCTGGCGAGCCTCCAGCGCCGACCTCAATGCCAGCGTCTTTCAGCACTTCTGCAAGTGGCGTGCAATGTCCAGGATGTCCTTGGCGATCCTCTGGGCTGCTTGGGAGATGTTGAGCTCCGGGTCTCCCTTTCGCTCTGCGAGCCCAGTTCTTCCGCATGAGCTCCTCGTAAACAAAGGCGAGGAAGGGAGGCCGGCCTTTCAGACGCTGCTGCTCGGACAGTTGAGCCACCACGTCAACGTGGGCCACGACGTCTGCCCACGAGCTGCTTGGTTGTAACTGCAACCACAGCATTTCTGAGGAAAGCCCCCAGCCATTGAGGCATGGACCTGAAGAACCTTGTTGACGCTGTTGCGCTCTTCAAGGCCCGGCTCAGATCATGAAGGCTTGATATGGATTGCGCCCCTTCTAGCGACCACTCGTGCTCATCCCGGAGGTTGAACTTGCCCCCGATCTGGTCTGGCGTCAGCCACATAGGCAGCGACTCTTTGGAGGTCAGGTCCACAAACATGAACGCAGTCTTACCGGCCGCCTTACACTGCTCAGCATGCGCCTGCATACTGCTCTAAAGAGACTGTTCAGCTTGTAAGCAAAGGACAGGCCCTTCAGATCAGCCTTGTCCAACAGGGCCGAGACATCCGCCACTTTTGTTGGTGCCAGCTGCTGAGCAGAGGTGCTCTGTTGGCTAGAGGCCGGTGATGGTCCTGTGGTCTGAGCCAATCGCGCAGCAGCCAGTGCTTGAACTGCTCGCAGCAACCGCTTGCAGCACGCCTGCACCACAATGTCCGACGGGAGCGAGGACTCCACCATAGCCTCTGTGGATCCTTCCGCAAGCGCAGGTGTCTGCGCACCCAACTTGTCTTGGAACCACTTTATCGCCGTATCCACCACCGTAGCACCAGGACTCGGATTCTCAACCTGTGACAGAAATGTCGGCCAATCCATGGCTCCCGCACCCAGAAAAATAAAATGTGCAGTCCGAGCCTCCTGGCTGCATCATCGCCCAACTCTTGTGTCAAATCACAAGTCGAAGCTCAAAACGACTGGTGATCCCAAATAACTCACGCATGGCCCTCAGCTGCTTTCGCTCGAACCCGTGCCAATGATCGCACATGATTCGATTCCGCAGCATGATCACAAAGAAACATTGGCAGCATTTCGGGTACCACTCCAACCAACTCAGAGTGCACTGGATCATGTACAAACAGACAATGCCAAAACGAACCGTCAGTCAACCCGATATTGTCATGAGAAGGTCACCCTGACATGAAGTCTCCATCTGCCGGGAAATGATCATGCGTGGGGCACCTGGACCTAGGCTCCCAGCATCAGAGCGTCATCATTGACAGCCTGCACAACTCTGTGGCATCATGGATCATAAACAGCACATCTCCGATCATATCTCCTTTGACTTGCGAAACATGTCCAAGTTGTATCAGAAGCAAATGCACGGGACAAAGAAGGCAACACTTCCATGAATCGACAGCTGCAACAGTTGCAGCATGATCTGTCTCCTTTGTGCGTGCGGTGGGGCTATATCTTTCAGATGCGCGAGAGCGCCTGCGACAAACTGTAGCCATTGATCTTCGGGCAAAATCCAAATCGTACCCCAGTGAACATCCCAATCCAACCACTAAAATCGACTACAATGGGAGGTGCACCTACCCCAAAATGCTACCATTGGTTTTGACAACCACAACCATTGACAACTTGCGCACTCGCAGTCTAGTGAAAAGCCCTGCACGTGCCTGGCGAGCACTTGGTGCCGAGGCGCCCTAGCGAAAGGGCCACATCGAACGGAGGTTGGCATGACCAAAGTAAGTCCTACGTGCAAGAAGGGGATGATGGCTGAAACCTCCAACTGCTGAACACTCTCAATTGGCGAGGCTTTTCAAAGAGGTAGATTCTGGACAGTGAACGGACTCCGTGGCATGCCAGCCATGCCTCCAAATACATTCATTGAGTCAAACGGGACCTTTCACAAAAGCAGAAGGGGCCATCAGCTCCAAATCATTTAACGAGGCTTGTGAGCCATCCTTCGCGGGCAAATGCGAAATCGCCCTCCCAAAACACAACGACAAGCAGTCACAATCCAAGCCCCTGCAGTTCTTTGCTGATCCATCAGAGACCCGCCTGCATCCCTTGTTGCGACGGAGGAGATGTTGGCACCATCTCAGACTCAGTATTCAGCGGTCATGGAGCAAGTGTGAACTGGCACATGGGCCAGCGCACAAAATGACAAAACTAGGAAAAGCCTTCATGCCTGCAATCCCCTTTTCTGTGTCTGGGCTCCCTGCATTTGCATTGATCAGCGGCGCTCGGGCCTTGGCAATGGCCCCAAGGGCCACACGGCCTCTCAAGTGAGCGTGGCGGGCATGTGAGGCCCTGACGTTGTTTGGCGCCATGGCCTCAATACGCGGCAGCCGCTACATTCCACATGATCTGGAATGTGTTTTTGTCAAAAGTAGCCACCTTGCAGGCGGTGCAGCTACCTTGCAGGCGGGTAAACAGAATCCACAAGTTTGACAACTTCCCCTTGAAAAGGGGGGTGGGCCCTCTGAAGGGAATTGGATTCATCAGGAGCTTGGCCACTCTCTGCTCTGGCTATCCTTGCTGTCCTCTTGTCTCGCTGTTCTCCTGTCCTCTCTGTTCTGGCTGTTCTCGCTGTCCTCCATGTTCTGGCGGTATTTCGCCTGTTCTGGCTGTCCGTGCTGTTCTGTTTTCTCGCCATCCTCGCTGCCCTTGCCTGTTCTGGCTGCCAGCAAATGCTGGCCATGCGGGCTGAGCCTCCTTAAAAAATACAGGCAGCTTCCAGTTGCACAAACCGATCCGTGATCCTTGTGGTTACCAACTCGAAATGGTTTTTCGTATGGGCGTCGCGCTTGTTTGCTCGCACATGTCTGACTGTCTGCGAGGTATGCCGGTGTGTGTGTGTGTATTGCAAATCACCTTCCGTAGTCCCTGAGGATTCCAGCGTGAATTGCTTTTTCCCGTGACCAGGCAGCAAGTGGAGCGGGCAAAACACCAGCTTGCTCTGTGGAGACCAGTTACTGGGGGTGCCCGACGGGGCCGAAAACAAGGAATCCCGGTTTGAAACATGTAGGGTGGCCCTTGCGATGCCGCTTTGGGCGCTTGCAGCGGCTATGGAGCTCTGCTTTTCCTAAGATACTCTTGACAGCGTCCTCCAATCCTCCAAGCCAGTGTATTGGATCTTCCGGAATTGCACAGCTTGGAAAAAAATCAAGTTGAGTGTCCAAATGGTGTGGTTTGCCAGGTTTGAGTGATGAGGAGGAGGAGGAGGAGGAGGAGGAGGAGGAGGAGGAGGAGGAGGACGATGATGATGAGTAAAGGTCTTTGTTGCATGAATCCAGGCACGAACGGCCCAAAAGAGGCCCGTCTGCTTTGACAAACAGCCCACTGCCATTGATGGGGCATACGCAAACTTTACCAGACCGGTCTTTATCAACCCAAACATACATCATTGTCTCAACCAGAACCAGGGTAAGGCAGCCCCAGCAACACAAAAAAAAAACTGGGACTCACTGCACGACGTGCCCAAAGCAACCCTGCACCCCATCTCCGATACTAGGCGAGGGGCTGACAGCACCAGTCAGCCAAGGAAAGGACGTCGCAATTAATGATGAGCCAAATGCTCAGCACAGACTTGCTTTGGACTTGTGTAACACGTGCACTGATTCAATTTCACCTCGCGATGTTGCTCAAAGCCTTGAGGCAAGAATGTTTTTTTTGCATTGCAAGTACTTCTGGCTGGTAAATGGGCTAAGCACAAGTTTGGGTTGCATTCAAAAAACAAAACAAAAGAAAAAACATGATAAAGATGTTCAACCCATGTCGGGGTTATCCTTGTGCAATCCTGATCGCTTTGCATTGTTTTGTTTCTCAGCGCACGTCTTCAACCAGAAAAGCCGAGAAAGGGCGTCTTCAAGTAGCCGTTTGTCTCGCTTCTTCTTATCGTTTTTGAGACAGAAAACCCTCGTGGCTTTGCTCCAGTTGCTTCAGTTGCTTGGTTGGGCCCAGTGCCTGAGGCGAACCTCGATCAAGTGTGCAGCACTCGTGTCTTGCCAGGGGCTATTGTCTTTTAAACTCCTTATCGCTTTTGCAGGGGTTTGTGAAAGCTTTGTGGAACAAGGACAGGCCCAACACTAAAGTAGTATCCCCCCTCTTTCTTCAACCCTCGCTGCCTCGCCCTTTCTCCTCGTCAGCGGGCCCGGAGGAGCTCTCACGGCTTGTCGATGCAACACTCCTGGCGCCGTTCCCATGGCAACTGAGGATCGCCGAAAACGTGTTGCCAAGGCTGCAAACTCGATGCCATGGGCAACCTTGCCCTGTCCTCGTCAGTGCTGCCTTGCTGCTTCTCCTGGCACAGGGCTTGATGTGGCCCGAAACCTGTTCGCCACCAGCCGGGAGCTTTGGAAAATGACTGCCGGTCTATAGTCTTTGGATGGCTGCTCTGTTACCTGGCCAAATCTCTGCTTTGGGCCCCAGTTCTGCTTCCGACCATCAAGCACTGGCAGGCGCACTGCATCTGGCATCAGCACCTTCTTCTCGCTAGCGCAGCAGTAGTCCTTGGGCCGAAGCGTAGCAGGGATTGAGCCGAATCAAAGATGTCTTGAGCACATGTTGGAGCTTGTCAATGCGTTTCTTACCCAAGCGTTGCTGTTCCCACAGGTTGGCATGTGGCAACAACAAAGTCAGCTTCCGGTCATCAGTGACCTTCGTGCTACATTGGCAGTGAGTTTCCAAACAAGGGACAATACATTATGCAGGGATGAGGGTACAAGGTTTGGATGTTTCGGAAGTGCCTGCCAAGTGTGACACTCTGGAAACCAATGATACGCCTTACAAGGAACTGGCAGTGAGCAAGGGGAGACCGCGGAGGCCACAAGCTTCGCAGCACTTCGAATCCCTTGATGCGCGACTTGGCCGCATGGGCATAGCGGCTTTGGCAGCCAGCGATTGCGGGTATGCCTTTGAGCCATTTGGCCATAAGTCAAAACCCCGTACTTGCTGTGAACATCCCAATCCACACTGAAATAGACTAAAATGGGTGCACCTATCCCAAAATGGGCCATTGGTTTTGACAACCAAAGCTCGTTTTCTCAAGACGCGACATGCCGCACTTTTGTCTACCACCCTTCCCTGGCGTCCAGCACACGGCTGCTCCCTCCGGGGCTTGGACAGAGCACCAGCGGGGGTCATAGCACTCGACATCGGTGCTACCCAAAACACCAGGCTGGGTCTTCCTGGCGATTGTGCAAGAAAGAGGCCGTCGAGTGGGTATGAACATTGATTGGGGACTCTTTGATGGAGCTCTGAAAGGCTACCAAGGCTGCAGCAAAGGGCACGGCATTGACAGGGGGCCCCTTACTGTCACAAACCCATGCATGCTCAACATTTCTTTGAGAGGGCCTTTGGGGCCCGCACACGCAACTGCTCAAATCGCGGCCGTTTTCCGGCTGTGAGGTGTCATCCCTCTTGTCGAGCGCACGCCTCCTGCACGACTCGACCCTTTCACCCAGGGCCGGCCCAGGCCTCTTCCACCGCGTGGGGTGCTCAGTTGTGTACTGGCTGCAGTACATGGGCAGGCAGCACCTTCGGGCCATGTCAACGGCTCCGAGTAGATCAGTTCCTATCTGACCAGGCTGTCTCCAAACTCGCCGATCGATTAAAACTTGGTGCTGATGCTCGCTTGGAACAAGATGATGCGGAAGATCAATATGTCTTTGCCTGTGATTCAAGCTTTGCCAACAAGTATGAATAAAGTTCAACTCCGTTCATGTGCGCTGGAGTTTCCCTCTATTGCAGAGATGGAGGGTGCCAAAATACAGGTCAAACAAGGCCCTAGCTCAAAATCCCTGCTTGGACGGCCCCAGTCAATTGCCATATTTGCCAACGCTAAAGCATCTACAGGGGCAGTGAAACAGGTCAGGAGGACCAGCAAATATAACAGGATGTGACACTGAGATTCACAAACAATGATCAAACTTCCGGACGGCAATGAACATGCTGCCGCACCAGTGACGACCAAGCACATGTTGCTAGACGAGACACTGAAGCTTGCAAGCTTGAGGGACACATGCTCTGAATGAACACATCCCAATATTTTGTCAACCACGTACAAGCCGAGTGCCCAAGGTCCAGGCTCCTCATTCGTGCTTCCCTGCCTTGGCCAGACAAGCTTGACAGGCTTGACATGCGGCCAGTGCAGAGAGCTAAAAGCACGGCTCCACATTTTCCAGTTGCAACTAAACAGCTTCGAGTCGCACATTGACATGGCTGTGGCTCAAAAAAAGGAATCCCGAAAATGGCACCTTAGTAATGTGAATTAACTTTGTGCCACAGCAACATGTGGGCGATCAACAAAACTGTCCCGTTGTCGGACCATTTGAAAGGCACCATGCTCCATGCTCCCATGCTCCCTGAAGGAACGATGTTTGACCGCTGATACAGCTAGTCCAACCAAGGCGCCACTTGTAGGTGTTGGTGTCGCGCTTCTTGTACCACTGAGTGCCCTGACAGTGAATGTGCAGCCACATTCAAAAGAGATGTTGATTTGTTCAGGAAATCAGGGGACAGCCCGAAAAAATGTTTCCTTTGGGTTTACTTTTCAACCAAAAGGGGGATTCCCAGACCCTTGCAACCAGCTGCTAGTGGCGGACCATCCGCTCCCCCAAAGAGGCCAGTCCATAGATCTGTGGATGTGGGCGTTCGTGAACCAACCCGGAAGAGGGAATCCTCAAAAACGGCACCCATGGTTCAAGTGATTGCTCCCAGACAGAAATAACAACAGGCAAGATGCCCGAGGCCACGACAACACCCGTGCCGTTCCGGTCAGTGTCGCAGACCTCAGTCGCCCAAAGAGACAACGAGGAGACGTTCTGGGCGCGAAGGCCGGGAAAAAGTTGACCGGCTCAGGGCCCTGCAAAATCGTCGCAGTAGATCTTCTCACAGCACCTGACGGCGTGAAAAGCCAATGACAAACCAACTGTACCTTGCGAACGAAGCCTTAGAAACTTCACCAGGTTGTTTGCGTATGGTGGTCCAAACGAGCTACTCTCGGCTGCTGCCTAAAAATGCCGAATCCAGTGATCAGTCGCAGCAACACCACGTTGCTAGTCCAAGCCATTGATTAAGGCTGTCTGAGCTTGATGGTTTGCGTCTGATTGATTATACCAACATAGCTGGTCCTGCATGGGCAATCTTCGAGATAACAGTCTGCCTGATTGAACAAAGCCGATGAGTTGACTGCTCTCAACGTCTTTCTAAAATCCCATCTGAATGATGCTGCAGAAAGCTTTCATTGATACTGGACGAAAACATGTTTCAAGCCACAAACATACGTGTGATTCAGTCATGGCAAGCATTTCAGTGGCCTTTTTTCCTGGAGCTGCATGGTTGCTACTAAGCTCAGGCCAATACAAGGGTCAAGTGCCACGACTGGCTCACTCTTCCTTAAAAAGAGTAACACGCCAAATGGTTTGCCTGACTTGAACAGCTGCGCTCCAGGGTCAGATGCTCCCTCTCCAACTCATGGCCTGACCATTTGGCCACCCGCAAACTCCTCTGCGGTCCTTTGATTGACGGAAACTCTCCCCGTCTCAGCAACCTGGCATTTCGGCAGCTCCCTGGGCTACCGCACTGCTCGAAAGTGCTGCCCAGCAAGGTGCCGTCGTTCTCCTTGGGCCTGGGAAAAGTCGCGCAGAAAAAGAGACCTGGCCATTTGTGGAAATGTGGATCAAGGGAGCAAACTGAGGGGCAAGAACTACCGTTTAATTCAGCCTCAACGCAAAATGTCAAAAGCTGAAGGTGCGCTGAAAATGTGCAAGTGCCAAATGCGACACCGCCAGCTCAAAGTGGATATGTGTGCCAATGTTGGCTCGCGACAGAAGCGCGAGCAGTTGCCTTTCAAATGTCGCACCAAAACATACTGGAACAAGCAGTCATATACTCTGCACCTGAATTTTACCAAGCCACTTCCACTGCGATGCTGGGTCGCAAATCTCAGGCAGGCAAACCAGCTTCTCACAGCACTCCTGGACGTTGCTTGCTTGTTTGGAGATTTGGAGATGTAGAGTCACTGCCTTCCGAACTCAGGCAGTCAATTGCTTTGCTGGTCAATTCAATGCTTCCTTTCTGGCAAGTGCCATCACTCGAATTTCAAGTCAAATATTGTTCAAACTACTGAGACAACAAGCATCAATATGACACCGTGAAACAAGGGCATGGGCCGAGACATGGGCATCTCCTCATCAGACCAGCCTTTACGATCCGTGTTGGTCATGGCGTTCTGATCTGCACCTGGGCCCCACCCAATATGGCCATATCACGAGGATTGAGACGAGCAAGGGCAAGTAGCAAAAGAGCAACGTAGTGACGGAAGAAAGGCTTTGAACAAATGAGTTGGAACGTGACACGAGCGCTGACAGGTCGGAAAAGCAAGGGAAGGGAAGGAAGGGAACAATGGGAAGCCGAAGGGGAGAAAGGGAAGGAAAAGGAAAGCGCTTGAAAAGGCGATCGCATCTCTCAGAATCTGTCATTTTTTTTGTATGCAACCCCTTTGTTGCACGGCCGTCTTTCTGCAAAGTTGCAATGAGAACAGCGTGATGTACATGATATCTTGTCCATGGGATCTCATCCAAGCCGCTGGCTTTTGAGGCCAGAGGCTTTTGAGGCCGCATCTGGGCCCCCGTGCGGTGCACCCATTTGGTGGCATCGCTGCAAGTCCAATCCTTGCAGCTCTTCCTGGCTCAGGGCCCCGGCTCAATGCCACAAGGGGAGAATGAGCGCGACCAAGTCAAAGCGAGCGCCCTCCTGTAGAAAAAAACACAAAACCAGGTGTTTGTCTCCGGGAAGAAGGGCCCAAGCTGATGTTGCAGCTCTCCGGCCAAGTATGACAGGCAGTTGTAATCCTTTCAGCGCCAAGTTTGGGGACGTGGCTATTGGACAACGCTCGGACACGTTCAAAGTGCTGCTGGGATACAAGGAGCTCCGAATTCTGCTTGCAACTGCTATCACTCCCATGGCGGTTGAGCCTGGCTGTGAACCTTCAGTCCGGTCCAGTGCACTCCCTGCACTCCCTTCGCTTGCGCTTCCTTCACGCCCCGGCCTCTCACAGCACTCATCATCCGTGCTGCCCAGGCGCTTCCCGGGGTTCACCAACAGCTGCAGTGACTGGGCGCATGGAAAAGAGCAACACCTTTAAACACCTTGGCAAGGGCGCAGTTGATACTCCCAAGCAAGGGTCTCCGGGAAACTGCTCTGGCTACACTAGGATGTTGCCAGTCAAGCACAAGATTCCTGACTTCATCAGCCACATGATTGCCAGGCTTGGTACTGCCATGCTCCAGTGCGGGCAAAACCCGAGTTATCATATATTGGTTTCCTCGCAATGACAAGGGAATCGTTGGACCGAGAGGTTCGGGCAACGCCCTGCGCCAGTGCAGATCTTACACATAATTCAGAGACTAATAGGCACTAGTAACTATCAACGACCAGTAAATTGTCTTAAGGCAGGGTCATCTTCCCATGGCTTCCCTTGCCTTGGCCCCAAATCAGTGTCGGTGCCTCATCACTGCAGGCGTACTTGTCACAGGTCAGCTTCTCGCAGCACTGATCTTTGGTGCTGCCTGCCGATCTTCCAACGCCAGACGTGAGCCGGCGAATTGAAGGGATCCTCGACACTCTATTGCTTGATGTCCCAGCTGCCCTGCCACCCACGTGTGTGCGTGTGTATGCATGCACATGTACACATTCATATAAGCAGAGCTTCTATGTATGTATATATATATATTATACATATATATATATATATATCACATCTGCCTGGCGACCTCTTTCCACGCACAACGCATCGGCGGTCTTGTTGGAGGCTTGCGTATACCCTTGCTGGCCTTCGGCATGCATCATCCTTGTGGGCAATCCCAAATTCCGAATGATTTATCTGTCAACAGAGTTGCCATGCATGAAAACAGCGAACGCGTCGATGCGGACCTTCATAGGATCAGAATTACATGCAGGCAAATACCTTACGTGCCAAACCCCTTTGCGCGCCTACCAGCGCACCCGGAATCGGCCGCCACTGCGTGTTGTTGGGGCACTTGAAGGTCTCGGAACAGCGGAGTCTCTAGCAGATATCAGCTAAGACCCTTGGATTCCAAGGGCCAAAAACATGCGTCGATGAAAGGAAAGCCAAAGGAAAGCCAAAGGAAAGCAAAGGACACAGCTGGCCACAAGGTTGAAGTTGACCTTTCAAGTTTTGGCCTACGTGTCCCCAACCATTTTGCCAAACCACTCTATTTTGCCTTTCGGGGGTGTTTGGCCGTTGAAAAACTCGGAGCAATGCGAAGTACAGTTTCGGCCAACCCTGGGGAGGGCAGGAGAGGTTCCAAGTTGGCCCTTCTGACTCTGTAGACTCTGTAGATGTCTCAAGTCCGGAACCGATGTCCGGCTTTCGGCCAGTGAGAAATGAAGCAGGGGCATCCCAATGCCAAAAAGGCAGGATGGCAGGCCGCACATGTTGATTGTGTGAACCTTGCTGCAGAAATCCAAGCTTCCCGTGTATTGTCAAGTTTGCGCTGTAATATAAATGGGCTCCAAATAACGGTTTTGACCATGACATGATTGCCGTGCACAAAAGCGATGGTTCTGTGAGAAAGCAACATGGCAAGTTGCGGTTCGACTTCAACACATGATATTCTACATGTGTTGCACATGTGAAGAATGCTTGGACTTGCTGCGAACGGTTGTTTCCGATTGCCGACGCGTTGCCCAAGTGAAAGCAGCAGGAGAAAGTGGCTTCATCGACCCAAAGGGCTGCAATGTCATATTAGTTGACTGGCTCAAACAAACTGAGCAAAAAGCCTGCCGCCCCACTACAAACTGGCCTTGCACAACGACATGAACCACAAGAGCCACCTTCCAGAAGAGCCACCTTCCAGGGGAATCGCTGCCACATTGGATCCTGCAAAATCAGGACTTTCTCAGACGGAAAAATGGTAAGTATCCAACAATCATTCTCCGAAACTTCCCAGGGGTGCACACAATGTGAAACATCGCTCAATGCCGTCCGAGCCGCGTCACATTTCATCACGTCGCAGCAAGTGTCCCTGTCCGAGCCCTTCAAGGTGTCCGCGCCAGGCTGGCCGGGCACAACAGGCTCGGGCCGCGCAAGTACGCAGAGAGGAGAAGACAAAGTACAATCAGAAAGAGGAGGAGTCTGAGGAGATGTCATTTGCCACAAGGCAGACCCAAGCCAACACCAATGTTGGATGTGACTGCCGGCGCTTTGCAATTGCAGCAACATACGTTGGCTCAATCCGAAGGTTCAAAAATATGTATTCGTCGATTGGCAAAGGAAAGTGGATTGAGGCGAAACAATGTCATAATCCAACTTCCCTTCAATGGAATTCATGAGAGGAGAGAATCGCCGAAGTCAAATGCAAACAATTTCAGCGCTCAGACCTGGTTGGATTGGCTGTATCCAGGAAAGCTCCCAAGAAACCATCCGCTGACATTGTTCGGCGTGTCGGACACATCAATGACACACACAACACTATAGCCTTGCCCTCCTTCCACATCTTTGACCCTGCCACGTCAAATTAACGCACAAAAAAACAGTTTCTTTAAAAAAGAAAGCCACACACTCAAGGTTGGTGGCCTGAGCCAGAGGCACCAAAGTTGCAACCGGCCTCCGCCGGTGCCGTTTGTGCCCCACCCGTGTTCCCTTTGCCTTCAGGCCATAGGTGCCATTTGGCTCACAGAGGAAGTCCTTGCAGTAGAGGGGCTGGCAGCACTCCTGTCACACGCTGCTGGACTTGCCCAAAAGAAATGCGAAAAGAGAAAATCTGGTTGGTGGTGAACCCTCGTGCCCCACAGAGTGGACCAAGGCAAAGCCGTGTCATCAAGGATTGGCAGAGTCACAGGAACACTAAAAGGGGTTGTGTTGTTGCTGAGGGTACCTGTTTGTGGGGTTGTCTTAAAGCCAATTGCCCTGTTTGCAGTCACTCCCAAATCTACACCCTTGGCCCGTTCCAGTGATGTTCAGCTGAAAAGCTCTGGAGTTGGCTAAGAACCAACGGCCCTAAGTGCCAACGGCCAAAGTCAGCCCTAAGTCAGCCCAAAGTCAGCCCTAAGTGCCAACGGCTAACCGACAATGTCTTTGGTCGTGTTTGCAGATGGGCTTGTCTCGAAGGGATATCTCAAAGACAAGTCAGATAAAATCAGAAGGCAGTAGCCTGAATAACTTACCTGCGCCTCAAGTAATCTAAACATAGATCAAGGGGAAGGCCGTGCCACAAGCCCAAGAGGCATTGATGTCCCCTCAGGGGTTAGTCATTTTTATCATCTATCAGTAGCCATTCGGGATGAAGAAGATTATATAGGGTACATCGGTTGATGCGGACTCAGGGGTCATACAGAGAAAACGGAGATGTTGCTTGACACATATACTCCGGCCTGCTTTTGGCCGAGTGCCACATTGGAAGAAAATAGCTACATCCATCTCATGCATGTAGACACTGGACCCGAGTAAGCTCCCCCCAAGAAAAGCCACCCACGCTCCGCGTCGGTGCTGCCCTTCCGCGCTACGCCTGGAAGGGATACATCATTCGAAACACGTACAAAAGCAGGAAAAATGCCCCTGTGCTGCACCTGCCAAAGAGAATGCAACGCTAAATCTGACCCAGTTGGCCCTTTGCTGTGAGTTGCTCCACAGCCCGGCAATAACTTCGTCGTGTGCTGAAGTAAGTGGCTACCGGGCCTCGGTTCATCTCTTCGCAACGGTTCAACCAAGTCTTTTATCCCACCCTGTCAGCTGTAACCCTGCATGCCCAGGCCCAGTGGCGCCCCCTCGTCACCAGGCTCCCGCCGAATCTGGCCGAACATACCCACCTCTTGGGGAGTACAATGAAGCAAAAGAGGAACATTGCAACTAACTGACGAGAGTTGACAAGCGCATGTTAGTTCATGCATGCAAAAAGGCATCTCTCTCTATATATATATATACATCTACATATACATGTTTTGTGGGCTGAAGCAAACACAACTCAGAAAATAATATATTCCGCTTTCAGCTTTTTGCTTCCATGTCATAGTCAAATGCCCCCCGTTGCAGGCTTGCTGTTGAAACCATCTTGCACGGATGGATGTGTGCCACGTCTCAAAAAAAACCTCCGGCAAACAAGCTCATTTTGAGGGGGCCTGCTGAGCGGTGCAGCTGGAAATGACAGGGCTGAATTTGGGCAATCCTTCGTTCATAAGCAATGAACTGCGCACTCCGAGTCTCCAAATACTCTGAGCCATCATCCCTGAACGACTACATAGCCATCCCCACATTCAACGTGTACCATTCTGCGTTGCAAGATCCTGCGGTGCCAACATGCAGCTCAACTGCTTCGTTTAGCACTACGAGCCCAGAGTTCTGATTCCCAGCTGTTAGAATTCGCACACACCTTTAGCACTCAAGCCCCAGTGCCTCTCCCCCCTTTGCGGCCTTCGGACTCCCAGATGTCCAGCTTTTCTGGGCGGAAGCTTGCCACCATCGGACCAGAGACCCAACCACTCAGCCTTCAAAGAGACAGACCCACATGATTCCTTTTCCATTGGAGCGAGTTGATCATGCTGTTGGCCAAGGCCGAAAGGCCATATCAGGCAAGACAGGCGCACTTTGTCTCGGAAGGCACTCATGCTTATTTGCCAGCCCTGACGACTTGAATACTCCGGTGCAACTTCTCAGCTGACATCTGCCGATGGACCATCACAAATCCCGCAAACTGCTCAAAATGAGCCCGTCCGCCACTTTTGATGTTGCATTGATGGTATCAAATGATACTCCTTGGCACTCAGGCGTAATTTCAAATACTGGCTCAGGCTGAGCAGGAAATTGCACCACCTGGTTCAATGATGCGTGGCAGTGCTCCCTACCTAAATGGGGTCGTCTGTGAATAGAGGGACCCGCAAACTGGGCATTGCCTTTTGGTGTCCCTAACAACCCAAAAAAGAGCCCTCAAACAACAAACACACTGAATTCTGTCCAAGCATCTGTTCTTGCCCGGCTCGCTGCAGGTGTGAGTTGCGCACAACTGGGCCGCCACACGGATGAACTCATTGATGTTCTGTTTGCTTTCTTGTTCGGGAAATGGTGCAAGGGATGTTCTCATAACTTGGCGTTACTCCGGGTAAATACGTGGGGATCATGATATCTTGCACGGTCCAACTTCGAGTCTGTTATCGCCTTGAAAAAGCGCTGCGTGCTTGCCCCCCTTCAACTGCTATCTCTTCATGATTGAGTTCCGCTGCACATGCAGAGAGAGAGAGAGAGAATCTGGCTTCCAACAACTCCAACCTGTGTCAAACTTCAGCGAGCCCAAGGGCTGACATGCTTGCATACGGAACTTGCAAAAAGCAAGCATTCGCCCAACCTTGCCACAGAATGTAGCAAAGTTTGGCATGACTTTGGCAGTGCACACAGTGCAAGGCTTCCGCCATGTTCATCTTGGTACTCAGCACCCGGACCCTCTCTTCGCAGCAGTCCTCCGGAGTGCTGCCCAAGATGCCAGCATCGCCTCCGGCGCAGGAAGGGAAGGGAGGGGAGGCGATCTCTCCCCACAAGCAACGGGAGCTCGTCGCAAGGGAGAAAGACCTGATCCAGGGAATGTCAATTGGAATGTCAATTGGCAGAGGCAGTTCGCAACTCAACACAGCTGGTCGCTCATGTCCGTGTGAGGATCAGAGCAATAGCAGGGCCAATCTCTTCCAAGAGTTGTGTATACGTTGCACAAGCCGCTCCACTCCCAGCATCTCCGCCTTTGTCCTTCCACTTTGTCTCATTGACGCCTCGCAGGTGGTCAATGTTCTTGCATGTGTGGCTCGCAGGGAATCCAAACTGAGTGTTGCAAAAAGTCCTTGTGGACACGTGGGTGGCTGATGCGCGCACACACACACCACAGAAAGCGGCCACCCGGTTCAACGGCCTCCTGCGCCCAGCTAGGTCTCCGGCAGAGGTTCTTTGGGCAGAGGGTCGGCACGCAGCACGTCTCCACGTTGAAGCCAGGCTTCCCGTTTGTCTGAGAGGCGAAGGCTCAAGGGATCCGCAACCCCCCCCCCCCCTCAACTCATCGGATGAATGGTGTCACAATTTCAGAAAGCTTGGTTGCAGTATCAGCAGTGATCCGTACTCGCCACTTATACTCTTTTTGTTACAGCCACTCCCCATGCCTATGTTTCAGAATGTGGCTGAGCAACTCAACATTTGCTGCTAGGCATGCCCGCTCTGCCAAGCCGCAAAGTTTTTATGCTGCGTGTACTTGCCCTCCGGGCAGACCACCTTCTCCTCCTGCAACTTGAAGCACGCAACTAGTCAAGGCCTACCTGAAGAGTCTTTCTTGGGGATAAATTCATCTTTCCCAAGTTTGATTGCAACACGTGACAGCAAAGACTTGGTTTCAGTTTCCACGTGGAAAGTCAATGTCAAAATATGTAGAGCCGCGCTCAAAATAATTCAATCTGTTCATTGAGTCACCTATTGTCGTCCAAATGTTTTGTCAGTTTGCAAGGGTATCGTGGAAAGCTACATGGTATCACTTTTCCTGATCATGTTCCATGCATTGTGTCAAACAAACTGCCAACATGGAACATTATTCTAAATCTTCACGCCAACTTTGTCTCTTTCTCCAGGTGCGTAAACATAAACACACAGCACAAACACCAGGCAAAGTCGAAGGGCATCGAACCCCTTGCGCTCCTCACAGAGGCGCTGCTGGCAGCAGCGCGCCTCGGAGTGGCCGAAGACGCCTGGAAGGCAAGCCGAGCTGCCGATGTGCGGCTCGAATCCTTGGCCTGTAAGTGGAAACTAGAGATGTTGTTGATTTTGGGGATCAAACATGTGTCATGTGTCATGTGTCATGTGTCCTAGGTCACCGCTGTTCGCCTACATTTTGAGGGATCAATGGTGGTGCGACTGCTTGGCGGAGATGGTCTTGGCGTGCGTTTGTTGCCATGCTCTTTGCCATTGGTGGCAGCCCATCCGCAATTAGCCCCGTTGGCATTGGGATGAGGAGAGAGATAGAAAACGATGGAGCAATGTATTGGGGAGGTCACTTCTGGAACAAATTCCAACCCACATCAGCAACTTGTCGATGTTTGGCTTGAATGGATACTCACATGATATTCCTTTCTCGAATCTCGTGGCATCATCGCTCAAACAATCCTCGGCTGAAATTGGAAATGTATCTGACAAGATGTTGCCCAAAAGCTTCTGGTCAGGTCGGGATGTGGCTGTTCCGTGAACGGCCGCTTGGAAGTGACACCTGAGAATCCACGTAATAAAATGAGCAGTATTCATGGCATCGCCAGAAACTCAACCCTTGGCCATTCCTGCAGACGTTGATTGCCTAAACAACTACTGGCAACTGTTTGGTTTATGGTGATGTTCGACCTTCAGAATGTGTGCAGCCCACTTATCACTTAAGAGGCAAGGAAAGCGCCGCAGAGTTGCAAACACAAACCGAAAGCCACAAATAAAACGCGCTGGCACACGCCATCCCAGGTGTCCTACAGCATAGACCTCAGGCTTGCATCGAGCTCTGTCAGCTATAGGACCCTTGAAATGAGTACAACAGGAAGCTTCCAGTGGCCACTGAACCGCGAACAGCCACGAGGAGCCCATCGTCCGCCCGCACCTGTGCCCTTCAGCTTGGAGTGGGACGGGCACTGGTAGGTATCGCAGGACTGCAAGAACAGCCGACCAGCTCTCGCGCAAGCTTGCCCACTTCTCTCAAACCTTTGAGCTGACCCCGTTGCCTCGCGATTCGGCGTGGGTTCCGAACCCAAACGGCCGAGATCCGGCCATATCCCGCCTGCGGTGTGAGGCAAATGTCAGTCATGAAGATCTGCCCAGAGGTCCAGTTCCCGGGTTTCAGGTACCTATGCGAAGGGCGGCTCGGGAGCCTGGATGGAAAATGCAAAACCCCGAAAGCACAAAGTCGGCTTCTACCCTTGATGTGTCAAGATCCACAAAGCATGCGCTTGCAACGAAGAAACCTGTGCTTCTTCTCAAGCCGTATCGATACCTCAGAGCCAGGAGCCTGGCAAGGCTCTTCGGAGAAACTTCGGGAAGGGAGCCTTCGGAGACCAAGACTTTGAGAGAGTGATGATTGGGAGACTTAGAGAGTGACTCTCACTTCGGGGAAGAAGGGCCGTTCCAAATGAAACGACCGGAGATGGCCGGAGCCCCCTCCCATGGAGCCCTTTTCGTGGCGGCGGGCTGGAACTCCAGCTTGTCCGCCGCCTGCCCCACCGGACCTCCCACCTGGCGAGGCGAAGCCAGGAAACCAACAGCTGGTGGACTCGCTTACTCACCACTCTGCAAACTGCAAGGGAAACATGTGGCTGTGGCTCAAACAACCGGTACCAGAATGGGTTAACCTGGTAAGTGGAAACATGGACCAAAACCTGCGGTTTGCCCCTCCGGTTCAATTTTGAGCCACACCCATGTGTGAGAAGAGGTTTGTTGCTGTTAATGCACGGGCACTCTTGTGAATTTAGCTGGAAGCTTGAGGGAGAAAACTGTAAATCCGACCTGAGATAGGCTCTAGAACCAAAACCACTGACCTCAGGGAGAAGTTGAGTTTCAAGCACTGTGTAACCACTAAACACAGGTCGCTTTCCCTTGGGGATAGTGGTTTGGGGTAGTAATTTGTCATCCATCTTACATCCAAGGCTTGCTCAGCGACCTGCATGAAGCAGTGCTCAGCAAGCTGCACTGTGTGAAGCACTGCAGCTTCCGATGATCTCACTTTTGCTTGTCGCAAACCAAGCATGAGGCATCTGGCTGCCAGTACAAGCATCAATGCTCGCTCTGACCCACGCAAAGAATGCAAATGGCCAACATCAATGCTGAGAGTCATTGAGCACTTGAACGTGGCCCCTGGCTCAAAACGAATCAAGCTGAACGGGTTTGAAGGATGGCCCAAAAATCTTTCAGGAGGGAACCGTCCAAGGGGTCATTCAAGGTCTCGGCTCGCTCACTCGTCCAGTGGGTCAGCTCGCCGAAAGGCATGTCATACTCGGAGAGGCCCTCGGACATCTTCGCGGTCGCACGCCACAGCCAAGGCTCTGCCTCACGGCTCGCGAAGCCTCCATGGTTTCGTAGCGAAAGCATCGATCCTCAATTGATCAGCACTGCCGCGTACTCGTCTGCCCTGCCGTCCTAGCTCTTGGTTTTCGCGCGCCAATTCCGTGATCCGTTCAGGATGCGGTGTTCCTCCGAAGCGCCATACACCCTCCTCACGTCAACTGGCGACCTCAGCCGTCCGCTGTCTCCTTGGGGACCTGTGCCGGAGCCTTGGCATGCCGCCATTCCATGCATCCACAAAGCAGCCGCGCCAGCAGCACCACCAGCGCAGCACCCAGGGCCACGATCGCGCGGAGCCGACCTCCGGACCATGCCAATGAACTTATGGGTTGCATGTGGGTGGCTCGTCTTTTTGTTGAGGGTGTTTAAAGGGAAACCAAAAGGAGAATCGCCTTTTGGGGGGGGGGGGGTGGGGCAGTCCAACCTTAAAAGGACACACCCATATTGCGTGTTGCACCATGCCACACCAGGCACCCCGGAGCCTTGTAAGAGCCCGAGCACACTGAGGGAGGACAGCACCTGAGATCTCGCACCCCAAATTTGCAAGCTCGAATCCGTATGCAAGGCAACCCCGAAACATTGCCTTGCTGTTAGGTCAGTGGCTTTGCTTTAGAAATAGACCACATGTTTCTGCACAACCTGCTTTCGTACCTGCCCTTAAGGGAAGAGTCCCAAGCACCAGAGAGCTCAGGTGGGATCAGAACTGAGACAGCGAAAACCGGCTGTTGTGGAGCACCAGCTCCATCCAAACCTCTGAGAACCAAGCTGAGGGTATCAATGGCAAGTTGCTTCTGACATCCTTTTGTAAAGGGTGTGCCGGTTCCTTTTGGTTCCCCTTTAAACCGATTCAAAAGTGCAAAAGCCAACAGAAGCCCCTGAATCGCTGTCATCAGCGCCAGAAAGAGCAGAATGCCGCGCTCGAAGTTCTTCTGCGAGACGTAGGGCGCCAGGAAATTCCCCAGCTGCAAACCCAAAGCACCCGCCGCCAAGCCTGGGGCCGAGCCCCGAGTTCCGAGGCTTTTGGAATGGCATGGCCCAAACCCATATCGGTTTTGTCTGGACAGCGGGCGAAAAGGGACAATTCCCTGTGTAATCCAAGCGGGTCGTTCAAAAATCCTTGGACGAAAAGAACAAAATCCGGCTTGTTGGGCTCGGGGGGTGGCAGGGGTCCTTAGTGGAAAGGTATCACTTTCAATGGAGACATACGGCCAAGCGAACAGCGGTACCTCAGAACAGGACAACATCAGCTGTTGCTGCGATATGCAACATGCAACATATGTCCACGGCCATTGCATGGGGAATTCCAGTCCAAGGTGCAACTTTTCGGAGGACATCCATCCAACGAGACTACTTTTCCCAGGTGTTGCATTGTCTGCGCACCCTGGTGGCCCAGTCTCCGGCCTACACAGTAGATGTGGGCGTCAGCCAACAGGATGCGCTGCGAAGCGATGAGCATGGGGAGCCGGAAGGTCCAAACCTCCAAGCCCATTCCGCGACACAAGTCAGACGCGATACTCCCACAGACCCATGTTTCATGGTGCATGATTTACTGGACCGATGATCGCGTTTCTTCCCATGGGCTTCGCAGAAAAAACGGGAACCTTTCATGGCTTCGTTTGTTTTTTTGGGCTTCCCCCGTCAAAAACCACCCCAGGGTATCAGGGAAAAGACACGCGCCTCCATGGCCTGGCCCATGGGGAAGATGTTCCGAGCCACCGCCTGCCCGATTTCGAGGAAAACACGGCAGCCGCCTGCGGAACCTGAGTCCTTCGACACTCGGAGCCCTGAAAGCCTCAGAGCAAATGAAGGGACTTGCTTTACGCATGGCCTCTCGAGTGTCTCATGCCTTGCCTTGTCCAATCCCGTCACAGCCGTCATCAGGATGAAGGGAGGGCCGTTCATTCCGCACCTGGGAAAAAAGCTGTTGGCTTGCTGGCTTGCTGGCTTGCTGCCCTGTGTATGTGCATGTGTTTTTTACGTACATATGTACATACTTGTGTATGTATGCAAGATTATGTTCGATTTGTTTCAAAGTTAAGACCTCTTTGAAGTGATCGTTTGAAGTGCTGGCAACTCAACAAGCAAATTCGACGTATCACAAAAAACAAATGTTGCATTTGCAGCACTTTTCAAAATACTCCCATCAAAGCACCTGTCCATCTGTCTGGAAAGAATCGCAAGACCGAAGGCACGGCTCCTGGGACCATGCGTACAGCTCGTTTCAGCGCAAGTGGGACCAAACACAATGGCAAAAAGCAAACGACAAGGGGGCGGTGACAAAATATACTGTTATATATATATATGTGTATATATATATATGATAAATATCTCCGTTCTTGAATCGACCTTTTTGCATAGTTCATGGAGGAAAGCACTGCCCGCACTTCCTTAGCCTCTAAGCCCATGGCAAGCCACCCAGGAAGCCGCCGGTCAAACCTGCAGGGATGCAGCTTTGTCGGTTGACATTCTTGTGGCAAACAAGATAGTGAGATGTGTGCAATGAAGGATTTTAAGTCGTGGAGCTTTGCGGACAGACTGCAAGGTCGCAGGACTCATTCTCACCAAAGACACTGCAAGACTGACATGAGGCCAACCGGCTCTGCTAGAAGCGACCTTGAAAAGTCGCCTTCTCCAAAGTCTTGCGGCTACGCCCACGCCTACTGCTGGCAGAGCCCACAGCAGCCAAAGGGGAGCATCTGGCAGCCTGGCGCCGGGCAGGTGGAAGCCACTGGATGTGCATGGTGGTTTCCGTAAACCTGCCACTCTTGGGGTGGCATTGTGTTTGACATGCAGGATTTGAAGAGGTTGAGAGCTTGATGGGTGCTTTGAAGTAGGTTCAGAGCAGATAATACAAGTGGAATGCCATACTCGGAGAGCAGCCTGACTCGACGCCGAATTGTCAACCGATTTCCTGACACAGCTGTCTGTTGCTTGGCGCGTCAGGCGCGTCTCCTTTGTTTTTGCTAAGCTTAGCACTCTTGCCCATGTTGACCTCAACCAACCTGTGGCTCAACCCATTGGCCACGCCTTTTTGGCTCTGGCTCCTTGGTGTCAGGCTCCTTGGTGTCTGGCTCCCTGGTGTCTGGCTCCTTGATGTCAGGCTCCCTCTCTGCACTCGGAACAGAGTCACCTGGCGCCAGCGAGCTCCCTTACTTGGGTTCGAACAGCTTCATAAAATCCTTGAAACAAGGCTTTATGAATGGTCCTTTCTTGTGAGACAGTCAGCAATGAGATTGGTTGTAGTGAAACTTGGGTTGAAAGGTCCGCTTCTTATCCCCAACCAAGCCCCCAAAAAGGCAAAGTAACCACAGTGGCAGAGCACCCTGAAATCGGCAAAGCCTTTGCTAGGTGAGGGCTGAGGTCAAGAACAATCTCTCCTGTCAATCTAGATGTTTGCTATGCCTGCCAACCAACTCAGTTGTCAATGACCCTGTGCAAAGATCCAAATATCCGTCTGGGCGAATTATGATCACTCACCAAAATCCCAAAAGAGTTCCCTGTGAAAGTACTTACCCTTCAGCGCGCCATTACTTCACGAGTGAGGTCGCGAAAAGATCCGACAAGCCGGCGCCTTGCGAGCTTGGGCTGCGCGCCTGGCTGTGAGCGTGCCAGGGACACGTGAGCCTGAGGTTTTCAAGAGGCCCGAAAGGATGGTGGAAGGAACTGTGCGCTGGTGCAGTGCCAGTATCTCGGAATCAAAACTGATTCATCCAGCGAAACTTGTCCAAGCCAACGTTCCTGTGCAAGGCTGTGCCGTAGCTGGTGCCGGTATCTCTCTCAAGGACAGAAAAGACATCTTTTCTTGGCACTTCCATGCACGGAAAATGCGAGAATTACCCCGAGTTCTGGCCCCCACACGCTGTGCACGTCAAAACCATGCCTTTAGGATGTTGCCGAAACTCATGAGGCCGTCAAAGAGCAGCTTGAGAAGAGCAAAGCTCCTTGGCACATTGCTGTGACTCTCGCAAAGTGTGATGCTTGTTTTGTCGCATTGGTGTGGAAAGGCAAACATCGGAGGCTTTTGCCTGCAAGGTTCCAGGTACAAACGCATTTTGAGCATCGCCACATCAAGAAGCAAGGCCGTGTCAACTTTAACTGGTGGGTGGGCTTCACACGCAACTTCCAAATAGAATATTCAAAATCCAAGTCGACACAGGTCTTAGCTTTGGCACAAGTCAACCACCCCGCCCCCTCTCCCCCTGAAAAGCACAGCTTCAGGAACAGCACGGCCAGCACCAGCTGCACAGACTCTGTGGGCGCGACCTCCGCACAGGACAAGTTGAGAGCCGGATCGAAGTACCAGCGCACACAAAATGCTCTGAGATTCTGCAAACGAATAGATGCATAAGTTCTGGTCTTGCTTCTTGGTGGCAAACCTGAGAAGATTTGCTGGGTTCCACAAGCGATCCGATGCCCACGCCTCTCGGATGTGGTTTCCCAGCGGCGATAGCAGCAGCATGGCCACGCTGAAGATGCTGCCATGTTTAGCATAGTGCCACCTTTGCAAACGCCGCGCTGCATCAGGGAAAGGGCGAACCGACATCGTCAAGGAAGAATGAGTCCGGAGGGATTGGAGAAGTCATCGTTGAGAGCGGCGCAAGTTCACCAACACATGCCATGCCAAAGCCGAAGAAACCGCTTTGGATGGAACCTTTCACTCCAAGAATTTCAGACAGAGCCACCACTGCCGGCCATTCTGCGCAGCTAACACGGCGGTGGAGGCGCACTGCATCACCTCAGCGTTAATTTTTCAGGGCTCCCGAGTTCTTGAATATCCGCCCCAGCTTAGAATGGGCTTCTGCTCCTTGGCCTCAACAACAACAGCGAACCAATCTGGTCAAAGTTGCTGAGAACATTCACTGGGTCCATCTGCTGGTTTATCTTGCTTGCTCTGGCTTACCATGCTACGCATGCTGTCAGCGGACGAAGCTAGTACACAACCTGGCATCGTGGTTTGTAGTTGCCACCTAAACCTGCGAATATATTCATATTCACGCACTTGTCCAGAGAAAGTATTCCCCCAGATTGCATCTGGTGTAATGACGCCCACGAAACAGCATCTCAGTTGGCTTGTCAACCTGGCAGTGTAGTGTTGCCAGATGTCTGCCGGTTGCTTGGACATCGCAAGCCGCTCATTTCACAGCGGTACACAAGCCGCACTATGATACATGCTCACTTTCGTCAGGCTTCATCTAGGACCTAACTCTTGGCGCCGGGCACAGATCAGCCCGGCAAGCAGGCCCAGGTCGTCCATCTCCTGGCACAGCTTGATGAGGCGCTTGTAAATCTGGGTCTTGTTGGCCCATGCCCCGGTGGGTTGCCCAGAAGCAAACATCCAAACGAAGTCTGAGGCACAAGCAGAACACCTCCCTAGCCATCCTGCAGAACATGATCTGCGTGTCTCAAAATTAGGTGGTTCTCCTTTGGATTCCCTTTGAGCAACCGTAGCAACCCAAAATCAGGTTGCTGTCAGAAAAGGCATCGTCTGCCCGCGCCTGGTACCCTGCCAGGAGAAAGAGCTGCCAGCCAGCGCCAAAGACCAAGGCCTCCCCCATGCCGCTGAGCCCTGGCATTGTCGAGCACGGAAATTGAACTGCAACCGCGCCCACTCTGCCCTGTTGGGAGGTGCAGGTAGCCACAAAGTGACCAGAAGGTGACCAGAGGGTGACCACAAGGTGACCACAAGGTGACCAGAAGGTGACCAGAGGGTGACCAGAAGGTGACCACAAGGTGACCAGAAGGTGACCACAAGGTGACCAGAAGGTGACCAGAGGGTGACCAGAAGGTGACCACAAGGTGACCAGAAGGTGACCAGAGGGTGACCAGAAGGTGACCACAAGGTGACCAGAAGGTGACCACAAGGTGACCAGAAGGTGACCAGAAGGTGACCAGAAGGTGACCACAAGGTGACCAGAGACCAGGTGACCAGAAGGTGTGACCAGAAGGTGACCACAAGGTGACCAGAAGGTGACCACAAGGTGACCAGAAGGTGACCAGAGGGTGACCAGAAGGTGACCACAAGGTGACCAGAAGGTGACCAGAGGGTGACCAGAAGGTGACCACAAGGTGACCAGAAGGTGACCACAAGGTGACCAGAAGGTGACCAGAAGGTGACCAGAAGGTGACCACAAGGTGACCAGAAGGTGACAAGAAGGTGACCAGAGATAACCACAAAGGTGATCACAACTCCTTCCCATCTCGCGCACGACCCCGCCGGCCTTTGATCAGGAAGGACAAAAAGGACAGGATGGGCACCACCATCCTGACTGCCATGGCGCAAAAAAAGCTCAAAAAGGGACCCTGCAAACATATCCCAGGTGAAACAACCCATGCGTAGAGACCAGTCCAAGAGCCTGCACCCATGCGCGAGAAGGGAATGGGAACTGCCGGCATGTCATGGCACGCTTCATCACTTTTATTCGATATGGATTCATGATGTTTGATTGATGAAGCATGGAATTTCTTAGATTACCAGCGAAGCTGGGGGGGGTGGAAGCTTCAGCATATTAAAAAAGAAATACAGTTCGGGGCTTGCTACTTGTCTGAGAGTGGGGTGGGAGTGGGTGTGGTGGGAGGTGAGCGGGGTGTTGGGCGGAGTTGGAGTTGGGGCTTGGGGGTGGGGTGGGTCGTGGAGTTAGGTTTTGAGTGGAGTTGAGTTGGTTCAGCTGTAGCTGGTTAGTTCGAGATCTAGCTAATTGTAGCTAGTTGGCTTGCTAGCTAGCGAGTTAGATTGGTTCATTGCACGCTAATTAGCTAGCTTCCTGGCAACCACATCGTCGCCACGCGGGTAGCCAGCTGCTAGCTTTGCCAGCCTTGCTAGCTTCTTGCCAGCAAGCTAGGTAGCTGCCATTCAAAAGTGGCTGACTTGCTTTCTGGTTGCTCAGGTTAGCTGACTTGCCGTTTAGACCATTCGCTAGCTACATTGTCAGCTAGTGAACTCGTTCAGTACTTAGTTCAAGGGTAAGTAAGCTAGCTACACGTTGGCAAGTTGGAAGATCTAGCTGCAAGTCAAATGGATAGTTGGCGCGGTGGCTCGTGAGTTGGCTTGCTACTTGGATCTTGGCTCAGAAAGCTGGCTAGACAAACCAGTTTGCCATGTAACTATCTGCATCTTGGATAGTTGGCTCGTTGATTAGCTAGCAAATGAGAACGCAAAAGCACATAAGATTGCGATGGTTGACTTCCCCCGAAAGTGCGCAAAGTGTTGAAAAGCACGAAAAAATGAAGGTGTGTCTGAGGGGTGACACCACGAAAGTCCGCAACGGGTTTACCATGTAATGGTTGCGAAACAGCGTCGGAGTGGGCTTGGACCATGCCCTGAGACGGGAACAATAACACGGCAAGTCGAATTCATGCACAGGGCCTCTTGCGCTCTCGAGCTGTGTCTTAACCTCTTCGCACTATTGTTTAGCTTTCTCACACCCATCGCAAGCAGCTCGGAGAGACACCAAAGCTCAATTCAGTCCAGTACCACACAAGTTCCTGCTAAACCTCTGTTGACAAATTGCGTCTTGGTTGGGGCATATCTTTAACACACCAGATACCAGCGTTTTGGCGGTAGGATCTATCTCAACTCCCATCACGTTCTTTGGACGTCTCCAAATGGCCCGGTTTCGTGCGCGGGGCTCTCAGGGCAACGGTTTTCTTTCGGAAGGATATGGCTGTGGGTCAAAAATAGGGTAACCCCAAAATGGCACTGCAAATGGAAACAACGACGAAACCCTGTGGTCCCCTGGTGGTTTAATTTTGACCCATACCCATGGGGAGTCAAACCAAGTTGGCAACGTGCACACCATTTCTTGCCCCCTCAAAACGAGCGTCATCTCTGGGCGCCCGAAGTCCATACACACCACCCAGTCTGCATCCATGGCACCAGGCGACTTGCACCTTCTGAACCAATGCCCTTCTCTCACAAAATCAGTCTTGCCAACTCTGGACCCTGAGCCAGCGCTGAGGGAATGCCATCATCTCATACATCTCCGTCCATGTCTTCCAGCCAAATGCCGGCCAATGCTGCTTTCAAGGTACCCACAAGGTATTGAAAACAACTAAAAACAAAACTAGCCGCAAACAGACATGTTGTTTCAACATCAAGATTTGACAAGCTAAGGAAACCCCTCACTCTCCATGGGAGAAAGACACGCGGTTTCCTTTTGCTTTCCCACTGTCCTATTGCCACGGGGAGACCGAGGAGGACCACAAAGGATCAAAACAATCCGGAGAGCCTGGAGTGGGGGAGGCAGAGGGGTTGACTTGACGTTTGGGGAAAACAAGCAGGGCCTATGGCAGTTGTTCACAGCTGGCGGCCTGCCCCCGAGTCCCGCCCGGCGGCCTGCTTCACAAGGCCTTGTGCCTAAGTGTCAGTCTATGACACTTTAAAATATATATATATATATAAATGGACAAAGTGGTCCGTGCAAAGCCCGTTAGTCCAAATTACTGACAGGGTCGAGTCATCGTGAACCTGCTAGGAGCCGGTGACCCTTGGCACTGTTCTTGCTGCGCCCTTATTCAGGTGCATCTTCATCAGCAGCGCTGAAAAGCAAATGACTCCATCCAAGCAGCGCCGGCAGGAATCGTGATGGTCAGGAATCCTGGCAGTCAGCCAAACGCCAGGAAAAACAGGAATCCTTGCATTATACACCTGAACATTGCCTTGTAAATGGTGGTGTCCCTTTATTTTGGTGGAAAAAGCCACGTCTTAAATGGGCAAAATGTATCTTTTAAGGAGCCCTGAAAGCTGGCAACCAATTTCAATCCTGGGACTGTTAGAAACCCATTCCTCAGGGCATCTTTCCGTGAGGGCAAAGGGCATAGCGCATCGCACTTCGCATCTTCGCACCTCCGTTGGGCCCGGCGAAGCCGATGGTCCGGTCCACGTTGCTGTCAGAGTAGAAGGTGGCCTTCAGCACCCAGTGCATGCCTCGGTGGCCGACCGCGGCGAGCACACCGCCGACGGAGGAGATGCGCCCGCCAGGCGATTCATCGGAGAACTCGACTAACAAATGGGGTGTGGGTCAAAAATAGGTAGCCGAAATGGAACCCTGGTAGAGGGAAAGAAGACTAAATCCTGCGGTCCCTGGTGGTTTAATTTTGACCCACACCCAAATGGCTGCAAGTTCAGCTAAGTGCAGCACCAATCTTCCACTCCTTGGCTGACATTCACACGTCGCCTGTACTGATGGTGGAGGATAACATGTGGAAGATCCAAGTTGTTCAACCAATGATATTGGAAGCAACATGTTGACATGTTATCACAAGATAACTGTCAATTCCAAGCTCGCTTCGCGATCTCGGAAGCAAACTTCTCATTTGCAGCTGTGACTTGGTCTCAACTTCCCGATCTGAAGAAGTACCACTGAAGCTTGCCGCAGAAAAACTCCCAGAGACGCATGTGATTCCACTGGCTCTGTGAAACAGGGATCCTTACATTACACACCCGAAAAAATGGTGGTGTCCTCTTTATTTTGGTGGAAGAAGCCACGTCTTAAATGGGCAAAATGGATCTTTTAAGGAGCGTCCTTGCCGGAAAAAGCCCTCGCCTTTCGGTTTTTGGCTCGCTCCACTTGCGGCCAGAGGTCCGCATCTGCCTGCATGGCCTCCCGGAGCTTCGCCGTGTCCCAAATGGCATCCAGCGGATTCAGGCCATGATCCTAGCCACGAGAGGCGTCTTCTTAAGGAAAAATCGATTCAATCAGATGTATCAGATGGGTTTCCCTGGTAGATGGAAAAGAAAACCCATCTAAACCAGTGCCTTCTACTTTTAACCGCACTCACCTGAGAAGGACACCTATGGTCACCAGTCGGGCTGCTTCGGTCCTTGCTGATGTTGTAACTGGTCTCCAAGCTTGACCTCGGCTGTGAGAGTCGCGCCGGCCGAAGGCGCCGCAGGCGCCGCATGCCCTTGCTTCGTTCTCGTTTGCATGTCCAGGTCGATTTGACCCAACCAATCTTGACATCCCATTGATCATGACACAAAAATTAGGCTGGCTGGAGTCCTGTAGCATGATTGATCTTTTGGTTCCAGCACAGCCAATGCTTTGTCACGGTTGCCCCAGTCCACTTGAGTGCATCGCGGAAATCGGTTCTTGAGGTCGTTGGGGCAGGGGTTGGACCCGGCTTTGAAGCCCCGGCGCAACGACCTCGCGCAGAGATCGTTTTGCCAACCTGACGACTTACCTCGTCACAGTGGCAACACAGTGGCAACCAATCATCTTGCAAAAGGAGCATTGTAAGGTTGGTGCTGTGGACTCCGAGTCAGATTATATCATAATGCGCCTAGCAACTATTGTTTTCAAATCCCAGACATCTCTGCCAGGGGCTCTTGCATGCCCAGTCGCGCCTTGGAAGACAATACATGACGGAGATTGTCTGCGAGAATAAGGAAAGGCTTGCAACACAGTTACTTCGGAGCCACTCGTCCCCTCTCCTGACTGTCCTCCACTGCTGGCAAGTGGTGCACAAAAAATGTTTGTCTTTCTTGAGGGTACCCTTTTCTTTGTGGCTTTTTAAATAGAAAGGGACACCACGCATTTTCCTCGTTTGGAGGTGAACCCATATTGGCACACATCAAACATTGCAAGAGGAGGGGGACAGCAGCTCTGGCCGCATATCTCCCGACCGCGCCTCTGCGCAACCTGGCGAACAGCTTCCAAAAGGATTTGTGCGGTAGACGTCCATAACATGGCCTTTGGATTGGATGGTCAAACCATTGCGTAACCCTAGGGGGGGTGTATGAGGGGTCTCATTGGGGAGCCTTGTCCTGGGCCTGGAATGGGATGGACGCCCGAAGTTCAAGGGCATTTATAATGATCGCAATGACGGGCTGTTTTGCCGTGTGGCATGAAAACCCGAACGGAACGCGCATGCGGAGTCAGGTCTAAATCAGGCCTTGTGCTTTCCGATGCTCGAACGCTAACAGAACACGACGCAACCATAAGCATTCCCCATGTCTACAACTTCGGAAAGCTTGGAACACGAGTTGGAGAAGTCGACTTTGAGTATGCTTGGATCACAGCACTGGATGTCTTGATGTTGGCCACAGCGCTTGCAAAGCCGTGCTCAATGCTGAACACATTCTTTCTCGTTTTCTCTGGAAATGCCATCTTTCACTTGTCCGCCATGGTTGAACAGACGATCAGGGACTTCTATAGTCGTTCAACAAACAGACAGGCACTTCTATCGCCTGACATGATCAAGGCTCCCCTGACGGCAGCTGATGAAGCAAACCTCACATTTTCGGGTGAGAGCTGTTGCCGTCAACAGGCTGAACGAAGGGACCCCGCGTCAAAGAGTGCCAGCCGAGGTGTCGAAGGCATGAAATTCAGCATAAAAGGAATGTACGTATATTATATATATATATATATACACATATCCTTGCTGCTTCCACGTTGGCTGGTCTCTTCTCTCTATCCCTCTCTCTCTCTCTCTCGCTCTCGCTCTCTCTCTCTCTCTCTCTCTGGCTCTCTCCGCACTGGCTGTCCCTGTCAACCAACACTAGCTGGGGCGCCTTTGCTGCATCTGCCTCGGCAGGCGTCTGGAAAAACTGGTCAGGAACTGAAACAAACAAAAACAAGGGTGATGCTTAATGTGCCACTCCAAAGGAGCCCTCAACACACGTGGCTTTGGATTGTGCTACAAGTGCTGTCTTAATGACCAAAGGGTGGAAAGGAAGTATGCTTCTTCAGGATGGATAATGTCTCGTCTCTGCGATACTTGTTCCGGCCTGCTGCCACTGCTCCAACACTGCGAGAAGAAACCTAATCCTAATCCTGCTTGCTTCAGAACGCCTGCATCTTGCCGCCCCAGTTGCAAGGAGAAGCAGCGGGATTACGGTTGCGAGCTTCATCATGGCCTCGGCTCTGGACTGGTCCATCCGGCGCATCCAACTTACGCCTTACACGTATGTATGATCTTCAAGTCTGTTCCCAAGTCCGGTCGGCGTTGGGATCTGCTTGTTTTGAAATGCCTCCACTTAGGTCACCTTTCACGGCATGTCTGAAGGGCCTGCAGAAATCAACAATGCATGCTATGGAAGAAGCACAATGGATTCAGCTGCATTGGGAACACGGCATTCCGGGCAAAGGTTCACTCCAAAGAGACGAATCCATTGGGACAAATTCCTCGAGTTTGTCTTGGCCCATGTGGCAGGGAGCTCCTCATGCAATACTTACAAAATCTAAAGAGGGGACGGACAGCAGCGGCTTGCTACTTGCGAACTGCGCTCCGAGATGCGGAAAGGTGGTCTTCCTGAGCAGCGCTTCACAGGCTCGCGTCAAGCAACTCTAGGGCTAAGGGCCTCGAGGCCGGTCGAGCTTGTTTGGACCTAGAAGATATTTGGCCATGGGGCAAAATCCCGAACCCCCAATGAACATCCCAATCCCCGCTAAAATAGCCTAAAATGGGTGGTGCACCTACCCCAAAATGGTACCATTGGTTTTGACCTAGAAGACCTTTCTCGAACAGCCCCAGCCTCGGGCGGTTGAGTCAGAAATTGGGCCCCTGCACTTCATCATGGAAATGAGCTTGTATTTTGAGGCCGCTATCACACCCAAGGTCGCTAAGTTTCTGCGAGGCACGGGATGGGAAGACCTCCCGTTCGGCACAGGGGCCGCGTCTGAACACGAGCCCACGGCTGCAGGGGCACGAGTTCACGAGTTGGCCAGCAAAAACGTCGTTGATGGGCATATGACTTTACAAGGCTCCATCCACCAGGCCCACTGCTCGTGTCAAGCCTTTTGCACTGTGAGCCCGCATGCCTTCGTCATTGGGGTTGGGCGATGCCAGGCGTATGGAATGGCGCACCATTTCCAGGCTCAAAGCTAACCGGACAGTGTAGAGACAGGGCCTGGCATCTAAACCGGGCATGCGGTTCCCGGAAGAAGTTTGTCGCCCGAGAGACGGAAAACGCCTCACCAATCACACCCCAGTCACTGTGTTGCAAAAGAGTTTGCCAACGAGATGAACACGACATGGAAGATGCTGTGATCTTTCCAATTCTCCATAACGCCAGGAGTTCCCCAGCCACCGGTGAAACATCGCAGAGATGGCTTCACATGTAATGTATCGCAGCATGCTTGCTGGGGACCTCACCGTCTCGGCACTAGTCACCTACTTGCCCTTTGCATCAGTCATCTGCTTGCGAGAGGTGTACGGGCGTCGGTCCAGCCCCTTGGTCTTCCGCGCCTGGCGACGGGAGCGCAGCTTCGGAGTCATAGCCGACTCCCGAGCAAAAGGGCCCGACAATTCAGCATCCGGGTGTCTTTGTTAGGGGACCCCAAGCTTCTGGTCTTCCTTCTGGCTGTTCTTTTAACACCACAAAACATATGGGCACCCTCAAATTACAGACACAAACCCATCTTGACCGGCACCGACTTAACGCCGGCGTCTCAACGACCCCCCCCCCCAAAAGCGCCCCGGCCCCGCTCCGTGCTCTGCTCGCCTGGCGCCGGAGCATGCAGAAGACCGCCTTGGCGAAGCGCTTCCGCAACGAGGGGCTGGCGCCCTCCGCGGCCTTGCAGTGGTGGTTGATCTGCACCAACTTCACCTGGCAGACGCCGAGGATGGATCTCATAAGAATGATTTTAGTGACAGTTTGTCAATTGGTTAAAGAAAAAATATGTTTGTTTTAGCTGAAATTGTTGGCCTGCCACAATTAGCACGAGAATGAGGACATATTTTTCAATAAGTGAAGAAAACTGAAGTCCCTCAGTCTGGATGGACCCCCAGTTCAATGTCCCAGAGCTCTCTCACCCTTAGCCCAACCTTCCCGACGGTCACGTCCATGTCTTTGCAGTCCTCCACTGTTGCCATGAGCTTGGCCAAAGAGTTCCTGTCCTCAACGCCTTCTGGATTCACGGCCATCATAGTGCTGCCATCCGGGAACTTCTCTGTGAGAATCACATTCTGATCCTCACAACACACACACACACACACACCAACTCACACCACTCTTCAGTACGGGCGCAAAATGGGCACGCGGGCCAGCACGCGCCACGTGTGGGACCCTTCCCTTCCGTGAAGCTCGTGACCCCAGCATCAAGTCCCTGGCCTCGGTCTCCAGGACCACGTAGTAGTGGCAGTAGTCCAGGCGCTTGCTGGACCACAGCTGATCCAGGCGCTTCGCCGACTCCGCGTCGATGGCCTCGATGTAGATGCGCCCCCGGACGATCTTCTCCTCAACACTTCCAAAACATGTAGCAAGTCAACAATCCCCATGAAAACCGCAACAAAAGGTTCATCTGAGTCATATAATTGCAATCTGGCATTCAAGGGGTCTACTCAAGACGTTTGCTTAACGGTTTTGCGCATGACGATGTCTATCTGTCCTCATCCCGCACCGAGCGGACGTTAGGCTCAGACAGATTCCAGGTCACTGCGCGGGTCGAGAAGACGACACCCAGGTCTTCAGCTTGGCCGGGCTCCTCGAATCGCTCAAACGGTCTGCATTTCCTGACCTGCATCCGAATTGATCATGTTCAACCTGTTTGCTCCACGAAAGGAAAGAAGAAAAAAAGGTGGCGGTAGATGGTCACCTGAGTCTAGTCGGGGAGTCCGGCAGTTCGGGAGTCAGCCCACGCGCGGGTCCTGGGTGGTTCGCACCTCCAGGCTGCCCAGGCGATAGATGCGGAAGACCACCCCGTCC